TGCCAAAACCATACAAATTATACTATGGCTTAACACAAGACATGAAGAACTACTGACTCCCGGCTCTTAAGAACTAATATTCATAGCTGAGAATGTCTTGCAATACAGTTCTGACATCTTAAGAAAGTATTGCACTTTGGATGTTAGTGTCTGCCAGAGTTGCCTGCTTTTGCCCAGGAGAATCACCGATGGAATCTTTCTTTGAAACATCAGATATTCATACTGGTTATCTGCATACAACAGATTCAAAGTGCAATTCAGAGATTTTACGATGTTCCAGTGTAAAGCTGATCAACTAGGACTTGTTTCAGCTTCAGCCAACTGAATGTAATAGTTCAAACATAGCTTCAGAGAAATTCAAATATTGAAGAAAGACTGGGAACATTGTCTTTCAGAATAAATTGATATACTTTCTTCTCAAATAGAAATAATACTACTTGTAGTGTTAAACAGGATATGACAAGAAAATGCAGTTACTATTTACAGTTTTATTATCAGTCTGACAATAAAAAAATGAAACGAAATCCAAATTAGTGCCATTACTAATATGGATTTTTTTATCCATATGTGCAATTAAATGCATTAATACAAAGTTTAGGAAAGCATTATTTTAAATCACAAAGCCCTATTTATCACTACGAAGATGATATTAATCCAGCAATCTTAAGTGTACTCCCTAACACATAAGATCTTTTCACAAGCATTATCAGCTGTGGAGTCATGAAATTTTGAAAATATACATACATAATCCAATTTTATGAAGTAAAATTAACGTAAGTCATTATTTAAAAAATGACATTACTAACTAATGGGATACATGTTTCATGTAGGTGAATGATACTTTATAAACTCTATCAAAATATTTGAATGCAGTTAGTTCTTAGTTTTAACAAAATTCTGTGCTTCTTTGAGAAGCATGTCCGTATCTTCACCGTCATTGTCTTGACAATCTGGTTCCCAGTCAGAATCTTCATCAGTAGGATCATACTCTTCTTCCTCCTCTTCATCATCTATAAAACTGTCATTCAAGTTGTATTCATTTGGTTCACCATCATCATCACTCTCATCCGCAAGAACACTTGTTACTATATAATTTTCAACAATAAAAAATTAAAACCTTGGGTTTTAATGTCCAGTGCAAAATGAGAGTAATATACCCTCTCTTATGAATTAAATTTTATAATTTCATACTTGATTTTCAAATAAATTTGTTTTTTCTATGAATATAGAAACAAAATTTGAACAGGTGAGACAAAATATTAGTTATTTATTAGAAACTGCATGAAAATATGTACATTAAGCTGATGGAACCTTGCCTCTTCAATCTAATTAGTGAAATGAAAACAAGTCCACTGGTATCTCATCTTATTTGATAAGGAAGTCACTCCAACTTTAACGCTCTTCCATGCAAATCACTCAAATTCTGATTTGGAAAGTCTATCTGATCTTATCCCAATTTCTAAATAAATTTGAAAATCCATTTTTATGTAAAAAAAATAATTGAATTGATTGTCACTATTCCAGATTGATGGCCACCAAATTCCTCCCTGATTTCTTGTGGCCTAGTGTTATGAAAGGCAATAAATAAATATTTAACTAATATCATTACATCATTTAAAACCTGTTTGAACTTTTTTTTTCTGAATCAAATATTCACACAATCTTAGTAGCTAGTATTTCTTGCTAGCATTCCCAATAGGATACAGACAAATTTTACTCTTCTGGAGAAGTAGTAATCTGCTAGTAGTGAGGACTTTTAGTACTATTTTAGAGACTTAGCTTGCAATGATAATAATTACTGCTGGAAAATCTGAAGATTAATATTTTTAGAAATTATTGGCCTTAAATAAATATTTTAATCTCAATGTCTTTGGTTTCAAGCTTCATTTTACAAATCAGAAATTTGCAAACTATGGAAACAAAATAATGTAGCACAGTACTGCTGATATTGAGACCTTACACATTCAATGTAATAGATGGGAGATTATCATCATTTTTAGAAAACTCTCATTTGGATGAGAGGTCTCAAGATATGTCCTAGGGAGACCACTGTGCCTCAGATAGACGGCGTGGAGTCCCTCCTGGTGAAATGGGGGCAAGGGGTGCAAGTGGGCTTGTTGATTATATACCTGGCTCCCTGCTATGTATCAACAGCCCTGCCTGAGCTGGCTGACGTGATAGCCGGGGTGGCAGTTGAGACCCCCAGACTTATGGTCTTGGGGGATTTCAATC